TGAAGACTGAAATTACATTTGGAAGCACTTATGCTTTCTTCCTGCGAAAGCACCGAATTAAGGAAGTTAAATCATGGAAGTAATCATTGTTGCCTTTACTCATTAATTAACTAATCCCTATGTTTTAAAGTTATCTCAGTTAGTTTTAAAAAATGTAAAAGTTAAAAAGCATAAATCAAGTCATTATAACCACATCAAACGTCTTTTTACAAAAAAAAAAAAGCATGAAGTTCTAAGTTTGAATATTCTATAAAAAAATCATGAGTGCGGAGTTATAGCAAAAATAAAAAAATAAATAAATTAGTGTCATTGTGCTAATTGAGATTTTAATGGGCCACGCACAAATATAGTTGTAGCCTTGCAGGTCCTAAAAAGATAAAAACAGGAAAAAAAAAATTATACAGACAATAATAAACAAAGAAATTTGAACTGTACAGGGATTTTTTTTTAATTTTAAAAAAAATCAAGCACCTATTATTACTAATTATATTCAGATTTGAGCATTTTCTAACAAATAAAAGTACTTTTCATAACATAATATTTTTCATCCAAAATGATAAAAATTCTGAGATTTGTTTAAAATTTTAAATCGAGTACCCAATTAAAGTACTGATAGCCACAAATTTTCGTGAGTACAACGTTGTCTGCGTGGACATTAGTACGACAATATTATTCAGGTCAATGAAAAATAAAAATTTTAGATTATTCTACTAAATGAAATAAGTTTAAATTCGCACATAAAATTTGCAAACACTACAATTTTTTTAAAAAAATAAAATACATATTAGTCTTTTAATTCTAATATTATTAATTTTTAATGACAATTCTTCGTGTTAATTATTTGTTATCTTAAAAATTAATTTTAATATATCAATATCAACAAATATTTTATCAATATTTAAAATTTTAATACTGACATTTTCTGAAATAAAATTAACGATACTAGAATTAAAATAATAAAAAAATCACTCCATAAAATTAAATATTAAAAATATTTACCTAAACAAAAGACTACAAATACAAGTTTTACCTTTTAAAGAAGACAGATTGGAGTGACGTGGGATAAGGGGAAAACAATGTGTGTGCGCGCGCGCGCGCGCGTGACGTGGGATAAGGGGAAAAAAATGTGGGCGCGCGCGCGCGCGCGTGACGGGGGATAGGGGAAAAAACTTTTAATTAAATTCGCCCATCCTCGTGCTCCGCGAGGCACCAACCATATCGTTTCCTCTATTTATTTATTTATTTTTGCCAGCGTTTTCTCTATTTATTTAATTACAACTTATTTTTGTCTCTTAATTACAAGCAATCTTAATATACATATTTAATTCTCTACATTTTTTGCATCAAAATTTTCTAATTACAATATAATTACAATTGCATTATAATTAACAAGCGTATAGCTTGATCATGGACTTTTAGAACATAAGCAAAAAATTTAAAAAAAATCAATATTTTTAGAGAAATAATTATTGCATCGCTTTATAATTATAGTATTTAAGAGTTCTAAATAGTACTACAATTTTTTTTAATTTTTATGTTATAATGCCATAATTTTATTAATAATCATTGTTTTCAATAATATACTCCCTCTGGTCATTTTCTATATGAGAATTTTTTTTTTGGTTTCCCTTGATCATATTTATAAGAAACAAAAAAATTTTGTTTGGAGTATTTATTAAAATTTTCATTTTATACCCTTATCGAAAAAAAAGTATCATTGATAAGATCAATTATTAAGTAAGGTCATTTTTTAAAATAAATTTGTATTTTCAACATATTTATTAATCCTAGTAACTTTACATTTTTCATCTTGTTGGTCTCTTATGAAAGGAATGGGAATTAATTTCACATATAGTTCCCTTATTTTTAACTATATTTGTCAAGGCAATTAAGAACGTGTGAGATTTTTTGCTTTGCCAACAAATTGTCAAAATTAGTTATAATGTTGATATAACTGAAATTCAAGTTTGTCCCCAAAACTAACGAAGACCACAAACTCACAAGTCACATCAATTTCATATATTGAAGAAAATAATGACTCTCTCCCCAGTTTATTAGAAACAAATGATTTTTGGCCATAGATTGTAAACATTTTATTAGTATTCGATTCATCTGTACTTTCATAAATTTGTCAAATTAAATCATTGTTCAATAGGAAGTTAAGCAATTTCGATAAATTATTAAACAGTATTAAGACGTCTGGGTAAGAGATTAAATAAAAAAGAATAAAGAAGGGGAAAAAAATGAAATGGTCACAGGCGAGGTTTGATTGTCATAATCATACAGCTGTACATAGTTTTATTTAATTAATTTAATTATGATTAAATTATATAAAAACATGATGACTCATCATATATTATCCTTTGAACATATATATATTTGCGTGTATATATTATTTCCGGTTCTTAATATAAGACCTCATTTGATTTTTATTTTGGTCTTAAATATAAGATCCCAATCTATTTTGTCTCTTATATTTATTTATTTTTTTTAAGACAGTCTTTGTAATAATAATGTTTTAGTCAATCACTTAATTAACAAGGATATTTTAGAAAAGACAATATTTATTTATTACAAATACCTAACTTAACTAGTTTTCTTGATCTACTCAAATTAGTCAATCAGTTCTTATATTAAGGATCGGAGCTAGTATATATTAGCTGGGCATCATTAGGCATAATGTGGATCAAATTGGAGAAATCGTGGGGTTGAAAGAGAGGGCTTTGCCTTAAGAGACACCCCAAACAAATTATTAATTATTTTTATATGTGTGCATTATGATTCAATAATTATATTTTTGTATTAAAGAAGTTTGGGAGAGCTAGATCGTAGAGAGTCAATATTTTTGTTTTAAAAAAAAATTCTTATAAAAATACTGATAAATTACTTAAATCAATTTTTATATCGATACTTAATATTCTTACTCACATCGCGTGCTTACTTATAGAAAGACTTTCGTTGGCCTAATAACTACTTTTTTGATGTTATACGTATAATATAATAATTAGATATTTAAAAAAAAATTTGGATAGTTGGGTATTTAAAATATTTGCCCGTTTGTCTGTGTTCATGAGTGTTACGGATAGATGTTGGCAGTTTTTTCTTCTTCTCATTTTTGAGAAAAATATCTCAGGTTGTTAGGATAAAGTTTTGGGTTTAAAGTTTAAGTTGTGACATCAATAGCTAATTTAAAGAATAATAATTTTAATTATATAAAATAACAAAAAATTTATTAGGGCTTAAAATATAAACTTAATTTGTCAAAATACTAGTGGTTAAAATTTTTGTTGTCATTTCATATAATTAAAGTTATTATTTTCTTAAAGTGGAGTCGCAATTGAAATCAGAATCACCCCTTACATAGAAAACTCAAGCCAAACTTTTTTAAAATACTAGTTGTTATTGTTAAAAATTTTGTTGCTATTTTAGTGAAGTACTCTTCCGGTCTTAAATATAAACCTTTATACTGTATAAGAGTCTTATATTTAGGACCGTAAGTATTTTTTCCCCCTTCAAAATGACTCTCTTCCCAATAAATCTTGGGAGAATTGCAATAAATACATTCACCAAAAAAAATTTCATGACAACTAAACAGCTTGTAATAAAAAGTTCTAAAATAGAAAATAATAAAATGTTTCAACTATTCACTTGTTATTGAGATTTTTAAATGATTTTTTTTTTGAGATCTCATAATAATTCTTCATAATTCTTTGGTGGCCGGCAACAAAGAGAATCTATTTTTACATACAAGGGCGGTATTGTGCTGTTTGGGATCATGGTGGAAATTCTTTATAAGCACGTTTCACGTAAAGTAAGAAAATTTTTATTACATGCTTGTCTCGTATTTAGTAAATTACTATTAAAAAACTATTTATAAACTACTTATAAGTTATTCCAAACGGACCCATTATCATTTGACTTAATTCCAAACAAATCTCTAAAGACTCCAGAAAAAGGCCATTTAAGGTTGATTTTTGCGGCCCACAAGGTTAGTAAATGGATGGGTTGGTTAGTAAAATAAGTGAGCCTGTTTTGAGATGAGTTTTTTCAGCATGTATTGGCCAGCCAGAGGCTAATTTTCTTTATTTTTTTAATTACAACTTTTTATTTTAATTGTAATAAAAGAATTATTATTTTGCCCTCAATTGAAGCACAACCTTATTTTATGAGAGGAACTTATTCAAGGTATGATTTTTTTCTTTATTGATTTATTATTTTTATATTAATAGAATAATTATACAAAATACATATGGGTTTATTTAAGGACCATACTCACATCAAATTTTTTATGCCCGTTATATCAAGTTTTTCAATCACACATGACCTTATATTTTATTTTTTATCATATATATTTATAATTAAATTATAATATTTCAAAAATAGGATACATGACTGTGTGATTAGATAACTTTGATATTTTTATTTAATTATATCAATCTATGAAAATAAAAAAATCAGTTTGAATTTAATCTATTTAAATTTATGATTTAATTTAAAATTTTAAATAAAAAAATTGGAAATAGCACAAGACAGGCCTTTTCTTGCCCCGGGCGCTAAAGACTAGTGGAGGCCCGCCAACCCATCCCATGATATGTATAGCCAACTGATCTTAAAACAGGCTTATTACTCTAGCCCGCCCCCCTTAAGACTAGAGGAGGCCCAACATTACCAGCTCTACGTCTTTCTCCCCATCAAATTCCTTCAATTCTCACAATCGTGTTCAGAGGCTTTATCCTTAACGTTTCTAATTCAATAGAAATCAATCTCAAACCCTGACTTGAAAATATTATACCCAAAAAAGATATACATATATTCCTCCAACCCTCCGAAGCTGGAACAATGAACTAAACCGAAGCCCGACTTGAGGAACAATTAAGACAAAGGTCACAAGAGAATCAAAAGAATCAGATTTTTCCAAAAAGCAGGACATTCAGTCACAGATCTTCAGGCCAAAAAAGAAGTCACAGATCAATTTTGAAAATCCTGTATACTTTTTCGCATTTTCTTAGAATTCATTCTCTAAATCTACTTAGATCTAATCTTAGTCTAATTGTACAAAAGATTGGGGAGGTCAATATCTTCATACAGAATGTACATACAATAAAAATCTATACAAAATTACATTAAAAAACCAGCATCAACAGATCTGCTGTGTACATTTCCTGTAATAAAAATTGACTGTAATAATTACCATCAGCAATTCCTCTACCCGTCAATCAAGAAAGTATCCGGCCGAGACATCTGTTGATTCTGCAACTTGGGCTGCTTCGGCTATTCTAATTAACATTGTGGCCTTGTAAGTTGCCAAATCAGCGTTCTCCATGAGAATCTGGGCTCTTTTGCGTTTCAGTATTGCTAATTCCATGGATTTGTCTGCAGAAGCCTTAGCCTCTTCAACTCTGAGCATGGCATTCTTTTCTTCCAAAGCATCTTGTTCAGCTGCAATTGCTGTAAATGGATAGAGAAGATGAGACATAGGTTTATGACAAATAGATGCCTGCAATGTAAATGCTAGTCAGGTAAAACCACAACATGGGAACAAGATCATATCCCAACACCAAACAATATACGCATGGTAGGCTCAAAAAATAGAAATGCATAAAAATAAAACGTTCAAACAGCCAACCAAACAAGACATGCAATCAAACAGCCTTTGCAGCTGCAAAGGGTATGTTCGGGTCAGACAACAATGTTTTATATCTCAGCGTAGACAAAAATTTACGTTATAAAAATTCAACATCAATCATACTGTAAGGGGAGGAAACAAGACAATTTCTAGACCAGTGTGGTCCAATAACAGCACATCTAAAGACGATAATTCAACATCAGTCAACCAGTGACAGAAACAACCCTCAGTCCATCTTATAGCTTGAAACGTATTAAATACCTTGCAGCACACTTGGTTGTTTGCCTCTACCAAATTGACTTGGTTGTCTCTTAAATGACCTCCTCTTCCTTAGCAAAGGCTTTGGTATAAGCGGGGCTTTCTTTGTTTGATGACCCTGTCCGCAAGACATTATCCAGCCAAATCAGATAATGAAGTAGAAGAGCAGTTTAAAACACCATTTACAATCAGGGTTCCAACTTTAAAATACGATCAATAACTAAGACGAAAGAGGAAGTGAAGAGAAAAGCAACTTCTGTAGAACCAATTTTCCAATTGACTCAGTAGAAACCTATCAGTAAATAACCAAACTGTACCAAAGACCCAGTGCGCTTAAAATGTACAGCACCATGCAGTGGAGCTTTCACCCAACCAAAAAAAAAAAAAAAATCATTCTTTAGCCTAGAACTTGTTTCCGCTCTCATGGTTTTAAGTGTGTTGTTCAACCCTCACATAACAGTGGTAAGCACATGAACTGTCATTTAACGGTTTTAGTTATGAAATTATATTTCGCTAAGTAAAAGCATCTGGACACTCAATTTCTGAGATACAGTGAAAAACTTTTGACTATAAAATTTCTCCATTTTTAGCATTGAGGTCATTGTTTCTATAAATGTCTGGATACAAGATGCCAACTTCGTAGCAACACATACCAGAAAAGGGTTGAACTTGAACACTATAAGGAACAAATTAATTAAGGATCAAACTACACATAAGTTGTATCTTACCCAAAAAGAAAGTTGTCCTTTGTCTTCCTTTCTTAGGTTTGTAATTCTCACAACATTTTCCCCTCTTAACTTCCCGTCAACTCTTGTTAGATTATATAATCCTTAGGTTGTTCTAAAGTGAACTATTGAGGCATGATCAAAATCACTGGCTTGAGTTTCCCCTTCCCAGCAGAACAGGCTTCAGGCAAACCATAACAAATGCATTGATGTATCAAACAAATTTACATAGAACGGTTGCATCGGCTAAAGTGATATCATCCCAAAAAAATTTAAATATTAAAAAAAAAAAGGGGTATGAAAACCTTCAACTGACACAGAAACAAGAAACATAATACCTACAGCCTCAAATCACAGTTCAGAGACACAGGCTCCAGGATGTAATTACATATACAATAATACTTGTTCATGTAAGCAAATTTTCTATGCTGATGTGAAAATACAAATAATAATCCTTAATTTGCACAGGCCCTAAATTTTTCCCACCACTGCTGACAAAACGAGATGGCAACAATAACATCTACAATGCGATAGATACCATAAAACCATCACGGATATACTCTCTGCAAGGAATACATCATCTGAAACACAAGGCAATTTTACCTGGAAAACCCTAAGCAGCAATGAACGTTTTTGCTTCCGTTTTTTCATCCAATAACTATGTACAGCTTCCAAAACTCCATTCGTACCCAGATCCCGAAAAAGATTGGCAGGCAATTTCTCATCAGAAAAATCATCAGGATTACAATAATAAGCCTTCTCTAAAGCATCAATCATTAGCTCAAAATCATCCTCAGAGACATGCTCTTGAGACTCATTATTGAGCTTTTTCAGCCATTCCTCATCTTCAGAGTCCATGTCATATATTGCAGTCCTCTTGGCCAAAGCTCTAGATAACTCATCACCATCATTCATTGAAATATAGTTATCTGGTCTGTGAAAGGTAATACTATTACTGTCTGCATAGCCAGAGACTTCACGCACACCTGGTACTGGAATGAATTTGGCAACAGGAGCTAAAATATTGCGATCAGAGCACTCTTTATAAAGATTTTTAAAAATAACCCAGTCCTGTCGCCTATCAAACTCTAGCTTCCAACCATTGTCCAATGAAAACATTATCACATGGGTGAACCGATTGGAAGAGCTGGGTCTCATAACTTTTTCTGCCCTGAAAGTGCATCTTGCCAAACCATCTTTCCTTACAGTGAGAAGCCAGTCTTTGGAAGTTGACATTTCAAGAGTAACGACTACTCCCTCTACCCTGTAACATTTGTCTGACTCCGTGACTAATAGATTAGCAGAACATAGAGAGGAATCCAGGTCTTCAATAGAATCAACCATGGAAGAACTCGTCTCTTTAACGCTTCCAGGGGAATAGCTGTGAACCAAACTTCTTAGCTTCCTCCTTGAAGCTACCCGAGTCAAAGGAGTGTTGTTTTTCCTGCCATCCCCTAAATCAGAAGCCAACGCCGCATGAGTTTTGTGCACACCCAACAGCGAAGGATTTCGAGCTTTCCTTTTCCTAAGAGAACTTCTCCTCCTCTGAATTCCTCTAGAATTTGAAATATTTCTGTATTGTCCATTTCGGCCAGCTATCCTGGAACCCCTAGCAGGTGCGTGTAACAACAAATTGTCCTTGATTTCAACGCCATCAGAAGTGATCGCTACGCTCCCAGCAGGTGCTCTCTTGACAGAATGGCATGAATGCTGCTGTTCACTCTCAAATTCTTGGCAATCGCTATCCATCTCATCGTCACTATGCACACTAATTAAATTATTTACAAGTAAAAATGACCTAAAAAAAGATCTCGAAAGCATTGCAGAATGCAAGTGCGTGAAAGAAAGGGGGACGGCAGAGAAATCCACACTGAACAAGGGGTCAAATCCTGTGATCCCAAAAAATTTGCATATTCCAATTTTCGTAGTAGGCGGTCCCTGAAGCAGAGAAAAACAAGAATTTAAAAAAGAAAAGATAAAGTGCCACCCTCCGGACAATAAATAACTAAGCAAAACTTCAATATTTTGATTACGTGTTCCATCCAAATCATTCAAGTAAAAAAAGCCATGAAATTGGCTTACCCAAAACACCACATTTGCAAGATGACAAAAATTTTGTTTGGCCGATGAAATTGCATTAGTACAGATGTAACATAAACCAGATCATCAAGCAAAGCTCGGGAAAAATTACCTGTAGGAATTGTATACCATGGGATGCGTAGGCACCGCATAAGGGCTCAACAAGAATAAACGCCGAGAGATCCTTAAATGTCAACCCAACCCGCCGAATGTACCTCAACACCAGAGCCAGGAAAGACGAAAGCCAATAACTGTTGTCACAAGAAGGCCTCACAACAACAGAGAGCACACTCTGATTCTCTTCACTGAGCTTCCTTCGTTGCCGACGAGAAAAATGCAAGCCCCACCTCTTATTATCTTTCAGACTTCGCTTGGCCCCTCCGTCAGCTGAAAAGTCTGAACTTTCGGCGACAGGTATCTTCCTTTTTCTACTATATACAAGACGACACATTTTACTGGGGACATTTCTGTCGCGTAAAGATCTCCCTTCTTTCACTGACTTCGTCTTCTTCGCACCAGAGTCTGCATGTTTTCCTATAAGTGCGACTTCTTGCCTTCTTTTAACAACTCCACGAGGCCACGCGTCGCCTTTCCCAGGAGTCTTGACCGGCTTCAGCCACTCATCCGCATCGTTACCCCTCCTGATCTTCCCCTCATCGGATTCCGGCCAAAGGCACCTCCCGGACCTCAAGACCCTGGCAGAGTCAGCTCCCTTGACGACTCCAAACACCCTCGTGGTTCGTCTCATCCCAACCGCCGGCATTGCCGTACGGTTTCCAAAAGACACAACTCGAGACTCGATCTTACCTAGGCTTCTGGGTCACCGAGTCGAAGCTGAGTTGACTCACAGTGAAGAACACAGGACAAAAATCGAACCCGGCGGATTCCCCAGCGCCTAATTGTCTCACATACACTGAAAACAACGGAAAATCAACCCACAGACCAACTGTTCCAAAATAAATCGGACCCGAAATTTGACCCGAACAAACCGTATGGGCTAAGCGCAGAGAGTTATTAATATATAGTGACAGAGAAGAGCCGCCATGGCAGCGAATATCAGAATCTTCCCCGGAAAAGTAACACAAGGATCGAGTCAGATATAAATCAAAGACTTCCAAGAAAATAGAGGAAAAACAGTAAGATAGGTTCAGAATCGAAAGAAGAAGCGAATCGCATAGTGAGATCTGCTTGGGATGAGGAGAGAGAATAGAGGATCGAAGGAGCTGTGGCCGCAAAGAGAGAGAAGAGTGGAAGAGTATCGGCTAGGGTTTATGATTTTAAAACCACTGAGGAAGATGGGGGGTAACCACTCACCGACTAATAAGATCCGTTGGATAAATGAATGAACGGACAAGATTTGGTTAAATTCCCAAACAGGTCGATGGCTGCGAAAAGCTTTTAGCGCTTCAGGGCTAAAAAGCAGAGAGGGAGAGAGGGAGGCCGATGATATTTTAGGACACGTAAGGGCGAAATTGGGGCTTATGAAAAGACCGATTTAGCCTTGAGGAGGATGCAATACGTCATAGCCCAGAGATTTATATATAAATATTTTTTTTGGGATAGGTTATTAGCTTACTGGTATTATACTAAGCTGGCTTTTATGTTGAGAAAATTCTAATAAAGTCTTTAAAAAATAATTACAAGAAAATTTTTAGAATTTGTCCTAAGTTGTTATTAAAATTTCTTAATAATTATTTTTTTAGACCTCGTTGTAGTACTCTTTTTTATATTTTCGTAGGAGAATATGTTGAGCAGAATTTTATTATGGAATTGGAAAGGATATTTACTTTTTAAAAGTAATCAATTTAAAAATTTTACAATTTTTATTTAGATTTTATAAATAATAAAATTTTGAACAAAAATAATTATTTCTTTAGATGGGAGAGAATGCTATCTTTCTGTACATAAATAATCACATCTCAAAATTTATGACAAGAGAATTTGAAAATATAAAACAGTGTCATTTTAATTATTTGTCACTTTTTGTGAAATTTTTCAGTGGATGATTTAGCTATCACAAACATAATATTTCTAGCATGAAATAATTTAAAGTATGAAAACAGAACTTTTATTTTCTATTAGATAAAAAATCAATTTAATTATAAAAATAAATGCAATAGGACAAACAATAATAATTCAATATCCAAGCCGAATAACATGTTTTATAAAATCACATTTAAAAAGATTTCTGAGAAGAAATGGATATCCAAAGAAATAATATAAATGGCTAATACTTGGTTTCTTTTGATTTATAGCAAAAACCAAAAAGAAAAAGCGAAAAAGAAACAAAATAAAGCTGAGAAAGTTTATGCGGAAATCGAGCAGAGTGGGATGTTGCAAGGCAACGCAGCACGAACGCGCCATGCAAATATGGTTTATCTAGTTGGATTTTCGAAAATAAGCATGGGTATTTTGGTCAACATGGGAAACAATCTTTCTCTCTTCCCCAAAAATGGGGGGAACAAACAAAGAAAAGAAATGTCACTTTTAGAGGAAGCGGAGAGATTAGAGGCTAGAAATTGCCTAATGTCCCCTCCATTTTTTCCAATAAAAGTTAATCAAAAAATTTATTCTGATTATAAATATAAAAATTTAGTTTATTTAGTTTATAAAATTTATAATTTTTTTAAACTATCTATATTAGTTATAAATAATTAAATAATATAATTTATGAAAATAAATACACAATTTTTTATACATAATTATCTTAACTAATTTTATTAATTTTTATAAGTTAATTATTTAATTCTTATATTGACAATTAAAGTAAATAGCATATATGTAATAATATCTTTAAAATTCAAGTGAACAATAGACTGAGTGATAAGAGTGTAAAATTGGGTGAAAATAGTAATCAGGATTTCAAACTCTTCTGACGTCATAAGAGCAAAAAAACAAAAAGTAAATTAAGCTGACAATAACAATTACAACAAACAAAACTATTCTCATAAATTCCCCCCTCCAAGAATGCCACATGATAGCCTTAAACTTGAGTATTTCAATAAAATAGTCAAATACCATTAAATTTTGCCATGATTTATATTTGGTATTTTTTTAATTTATGTGTATGATTTTAAAGGATATTTTTGGGCTAGAAAAATAATTTGTATATAATTATTTTTTCTCTAATACTATTTATTTTTTTAAACTCAAATTTCTAACATTATTTAGCTAAATTTGGGCGTGGCTTGGTGCTGGCCTAACTAAAGCAATTATTAAGTTCTGGATCTGATTTAAGAAAAATGCATTAGTAAAAGGAAAGATCGATTATTAAAAAACGCTATGAAATATCTAATAAAAAATGTAATTACTAAAAAATGTTAATATTTGTTTTTTTTAAAAAAGCTAAAAGGTCTTTGGTGGTCATATTATTTTATTGACCTCATAATGATTTTCTACACATTTTTATCAAAACCCTATAAACAGTAAAAAAATTTTTACCTAAATACTATAGGGTGAAAACTATTTATCAAAATACTACATTGTCAATTATTCACGCCTAGAACAATTTTAATTTTATAAAAAAATCTTTCTTATCAATAATGATTTTACTTTTAATTTAACCTCTCCTCCTATTATATCACTTCATCATTGTGACAATTTTATGTTTTTAATGAAAAAAGTGAAATTACTCATGCCAACAATAATTTCAGTTTTTTTTCCCTCACTTTCCCTATTTAATGGCATGAAAATCAAAAATTATTTTTCTCCTGCTCAGTCAAATCCCTTTACAAATGCATATTCAATTTTTGTTAACTATACACTGCACTTAATTTTTCTAGTAATTCAATTTAATCTTACAGAAATGATTTTAGCAATTCTTTATATATACACACACATATAGGGGAAGGCAATGAAAAGTAATAATTATAATAAAGCATAATTGCGCCATACTGTAACTGGGCGGAAGAATAATTTGGTCCTAATCCTATTAAATTAAATAATGTAATATCCTCAGCTTTGACCATTTGGCCCAACTTATAAATTAATCCATAATCCAATGATACACATGAATATTTTAAAAAAACGACGTGTAACATGTATTATAATTAAGTAATTTTTTTAACTCTTTTTAATTTTTTCAAATTAGCTAACCATGTTTTATATTAAGAATTAGAGCTAGTATAAATTAATGGGTTAACATATTTTTTAACCTCTTAAGTTTGTCATTAGTTTGGTTTTAGTTCCTTGAGTTTCAACCTCTAGGTTTTGATTCTTCAAGTTTCATTCTATCTAAAACACTGGTCCAAATAATTTAATAAAAGCCTGGATTATTTTACCCGTTAAAAGACTAACACTTATAGTTTGAAACTTAAAGAACTAAAATCAAAATGAGAATAAATCTGAGAAACTAAAAATTGTGTTAACACTAAATTAATCTTAAAATTTTCTTTTGTACAAAAAATGTTCTTTGTTAACTATTCATTGCTTGAAATTTTCTATTAGTAATTTAACTTGATCTTGCAAAAATGATAGAAAAATGTTACTATTTTTTATTTTTAATACTCCTCCGGTCCTTATTATAAGACCCAATTTGACTTTTTATTTGGTCCTAATTATAAGACCCAATCCATTTTATCTCTTATATTTATGCATTTTTTTCCAAGATAATCCTTCTAATAATGATAGTTTTAGCCAATATACTTAATTAGCAAGGATATTTTAGGAATGACAACACTTATTTATTATAAATAACCAATTTAACTTACTTCCTTAATCTCCTCAAATAAGTCAATTGGGTCTTATAATTAGGACCGGAGGAGTATATGAGTTAAATAACTAATTTGTTAATACTTCTCATGCTATTCACTATAAATGTCAAAAAGTGACATCATTCAGTATGAATGATCTCACTTTTTTTGCTTAAAAATATAATTGTCAAAAGTGATAAAATGATATGACGTAGGAAGAAATTAAAGTGAAAACAAAACCGTTCTTAGCATAAATAAATTTTTTGCTTTTAACAGGAGTGCTGTCTTTATAAAATTAAAATCGTTTTTGACATGAATGATTTATAATATAAAACTTTGGTGAATAATTTTTTACTGTATAGGATTTAGGCAAAATCTTTTACTGTTTATAGGTTTGTAATAAAAATAAAAATGCCTGACTTTCTCCGTTTCTTTTTTCCAGGAAAAGATAACTACTCCCGTTCTGAAAGGAAAATAGTAATAGTAATAGTAATAATACCAGGCAAAAAGACTGATCTTCTGCCAAAACGCGGGATCTTCTGCGTTGCGTTTTCACGAGCACGAGCGCCAAACCCTTCAGAGAAAAACGCCGGATGCAAGCGAATCTGCAAATTTCTATAAGCAATACAGAAGACAGGGGAGTGGGCTGCGAAGGAGCAGAGAAGAAACGCAGCGAGTGATCCAGAGAGTAGGAATTAGGAACGAACGAAGAAGACGATTTCGTCCGCAGTTAAATCTCTCCTCTCTTTCCTTTGAACTTCCGTTGATATCTTCTCTTGTTTTTGGCATTTTAAGATTTTCTACCGGAAATTTTTGTTTTGCACAAACCTTTATCTCTCGATTAGCTTTTGTTGTTGGGGAGGTGGTTCTTGATTGAATTTGTAGAAGCATTTCACTAACTTTCTTCGTTGTTTATCGGGCTCTTCGTGTTTCTTGTCAAAAATTCAGGTTGACAGCGATATATGGGTGATAGACAAGTAGTGGAGCCGCAGCACCCAGTTGATCCTCCATTGCCCTCTTCGCCTCCTTCGAGGGATGATATGGTTGCTTGCGTGATGGCTTTGGAGGCTGCTTTGCTTCCTTGCTTGCCTGCTAGAGAACTTCAAGCAATAGACCGCTCTCCCCACCCTTCACATCAAAGTGAGTAATTTTCTGCTTGTTATCAGGATTGTACCCTTTTCACTCAGTGTTAACAGCCCAACTATGTGAAATTCTTCATTCTGATGTCCCAAGTTAAAGTTGGAAGTTAGGCTAATGACTTTCAAAGTTTAAATAATTCCCTTGATATTCTAATTCATCAGATGGTTTTCTTTCACATCGTTTTCAATAATAAATTGGGTTGGTAGCAGGCTAGCAATGGCTAATTTGTCACTTGTCACATGTACCATACATAAATAACCATTTCAATTTGTTTGTGAAGTAATTAAATTGACTCTCTTCTAATCATTCTAATTAAGTTGACCCTGTTAAGCTAATGCTAGTTAGGTCGAGAAATTGTGAGGATTGTTAATGGGCCACGTTTTCATTTAAATACTTTCTTATATATGCTTTGGCTGAGAGAGAGTTTGAGAGTCTGTACTCTTAGCTTCACTAAAGGCAACGTAGTCACAAGTAGTGGTCTTGTTGCAAATACTGCATCAGGGGAGTTTCAAAAGCAACCACCATATGAAATGTTCCCTGTGCAGTGAATACCCACACAAGGGCGGGATGTAATTTTTTTTTTTTTTTTAACACTGAATGGTTTGCCGGGGCCCTTGTTTCTTGTGTCAGATATCTTGTAGCGTCCTATATACAACAACAAGTCTTATTTCACAGGATGTAGTCGGCTGCAGAGATTGCATGATGATTGTGATTTATTGACAAACAACTATTTAGATATATCATTCATCTAAATGCCCTGCTTTGGGTCTTCTTTGTGGCCTTCATTTACTTCTCTTTACATTCATCAAAACGTGCTTTGCTCAAAACGCCATCTAACCTATTTGATTCCTTTTCCTTTGGACATTGTTTGCAGTTGACGTAGAGAGGCATGCCAGAGATTTTATGGAGGCTGCCAAGAAGCTTCAACTTTATTTTATCAGCCTGCTGCGTGAGAGTCAACCGTCAAAAGCTGAAATGCTTAGAAAGGTATCTAGTACACAGAAATAGGCATTGTGCAAAGTGCTCGTACTTCAGCAAGTTATTGAGATCCTTATACATTGGCATCCAAACTTGAAAGTTTTGCGATATCTTGTCTAAAGCAGGAGATTGCTGTGATGGAAGAGGAACTTCAGAGAAAAACGGAGCTGATTAGAAAGCAAGAGAATCTAATTCAGGGCTGGAGAAACGAGTTAAAAGATCAGCTGGACAAACACAGTACTGAGTTGGACAGAGTATAGTGGAAAATTACGCTTATCTCTTTACCTGGGGACAAAAAAGTGTATCTTTTAGATGTTTGTTATCAAGTTCTATTCATTGTGGGAACAAACATGAATATGTTATTACAGTTTAGCTCCGAATGATTTGATCTTTTAAGACAGTTCCTCCACATATTACGTTGTTACTGAAGAAGCTGATAGCAAGCATGTTTGCCCCCTCCTTATCGTTTGGCTCAACCTACTAATCTAGCTTTTCACCAAGAATGGACTCCGACCACGTTTTCATTTCTTGATCACACTTTGTTAAGTTGTTCAGGATTGGCCAAATTATCACTGGTGTTACCTTAGTTTGTGATAGGCAGAAAAGCTAGGGGAAAAACAAAATTTGAGGAGATCACGTCAGACGGAGAACATGAAAGTAGGCAGAATTTTTCTGTAAAATTTTTTGAATTGGAAAAAGCTACTCCTTTCAATCCACAATATAAATTATTTCTAAAAGAATTTTTCGCTTCATTATGTAAGTTGGTTGCAGAATTAGTGCTTATTTATTAATTTTATCTTGACAATTAATGCTTAAGTGTGAATTTTTTTTTTTTTTGCTCTCTCAAAATCTCATTTAATACGAGATGTTGTAAGGGGATCACACCCGTCAAAAGGCTTAAGCAGGAGCTAACCTCGGCTTTGAGTTCCCTACGGAGCCCATTGTTGCCGCAGCAGCGTCATGGTGAAGGACCCCACAAAGCGTGAGGGGTCCACAATGGGGGCCACTCCATAAAAGCCGCATCCTCATATTTTGGGCTTAATTGGGTTCTCTTGTGGCTTACGGGGATCCTGTTCAGTTTCACGCACGTAATGTCTGGCCTCCTAGATCAATGGAAGCTACGTTTTGATGTTCCTTTGGCATAAAGGTGGTAAGTTCTTACGCGATATTAAAAGTTCAAACAGTTGGCAAGATGCTGGTTTATAACCCATAAAGTTGTGAATTCAAATTTTGTTGTCAATGCAAGAAATTTGTTAGCAAGTGATTTATAAGTGTCTTTTTAAGCTTGGAGACATAACCGATCCTAATGAGCTTTCGGAACCCAACTCATATAAACTTTTATTGTAACAAAAAAAAAATTTTAAACCAAAATTGCCTATATTTAATATACAAGGTTTCATTTTAAAAGAGAATTCAAAAAAATCGCTTTGAGTGGAATGGGGTGTGAGCAATATGATTAGTTCAAACCCAATAGGAGGAGAAATGCTGAAAGCAACACATATTTTGGAAATTGAGGAGTTTTCATAAGATAAGTAAAGTAATTTGATTTTTTTTAATTAAGCAATTTATATAATTCAATGAGCCTAAAAGGGAAAAGAAGAATCCTTAGAGCTACATGCAATTCAAAATCAAAAGAAGCGTAGGATTCCAATTTCGAGAAGTGGTTGGAGAAAAAGAGAGAGGAAAAGGGAAAGATCAAATTTATCATTGTACAAAGTTGTTTCCCAACTATTTCCATTTTCGATCCGCCCAAACCTAAAATTGTTTTTCTTTAAAATGAAAACTTTGCTTAGTGGACCAAAAATAGGTGCCATTGGCTAATAGCTTCAGGAGGACCAGAAGCTTCCTAACTCAATTCACTGCCATTTACAATGTAATCATAATATAACATGGAGCCTGACACGATTTCCTATACATTGCATAATTACTGGAATAAATCATACGGTTGATGGCTTATGGATACTTCCATTTCTTATAGATTTTATATTTTATATTAATGATGAGTATATAATTTTATCAGAAGATAAACACACATGTTGAAGCATTTATAAATAATCGAGATGAAGTGAAATTTTGATTTAACAGGTTTCATCCAAGGGATAATGTTCTTGAGACTCTAAGTAGCATCATGCTTCATATGGCAATGGGGAGAATTTTAATTTCAAGAGATATCATGAATAAAACATGTTCACAAAAGCACTTTTGAAACCGTGGTTTGGTTTCCATCCAAACACCCCCCTAGATCACTAGATTTAGAGGTCAATTATAGTGGGGATCACTCAGCATATTCCAGCACAGAGCACAGTGTCTTAATCCAGGCACTTATTCATGTGCAAAACAAAGTAATATTAATCAGTATAAAACCTAGGAGGGAAGTAGTACACTACAAGCATTGTGTTCTACTTTTAAATAAAAGAATTGTTCACCGAGTCTAGTATACAATCAATTGTAATCCTTCAGTCTCTTCTTGAGTGTGTCCATGGATCTCTTTCTCGCACTTGTTTTCGTGTTTTTATTCGAAAGGCTTCCGAATATCCCATCAGGAGAATCCCTAAACTTGTCACAAATCAGAGAGACTCTCTTGTGATCCAAGGCATAGTAGTTTCTCTCTCTTATCACAGGATTCATGAAGTTCTCAGGCTGGCTACTCAACAAAAGATTCAACAGTTGTCTTGCTTCTACCAAACATCCCTTGAAACTCCCATCTTTGTAAATCTCACTCAACCCAGAAGCATGAAACCTCTCATCAGCAAAAGCCTCTAACATTTTAACATCATTGTTGATGCTTATTACAGCAGTTTCATTAAATCTCTTGACACTATCACTGAGGAAAGCAGCCACCATAGAGTTAGAAATATGCTCAAGTGCTTCACTCCCAACTTTGTACATAGCATCCAATGGTAGCATCTGTTGTGCTGTAGACATAAGAGAGTCAAGATAATATATCACTTCATTCACATAGTCATTACCATTCTGCTTTATTTCTTCTGAAGTCCAATTTATTTTCTCCATCAGAGCCATATATTCATCTATCTTTGAAATGACCAAACTCAATAGAGCAAGATAAGCTGCATCCCTTGAAGTCTTGAGCACCACTTTTGCAGTTAAAGCAATCTGAGGTTTCAAACTGCGAACTGGGATTCCACATAGATATGCCACGTGTCTAAGGAAGAAATCACAAGCTCTTTCAAGAGCAGCTATGTTTGCAGCTATCTGCATTGCTTGAGACACACTGATATTGCCACTGTTAATAGTATCAAGCAATATTTCATTCAATACATCAATCAAGAACCTGTCCAAATATTTCCTAGCAGCATCAAATAAGCTGGCATTTATACCATAAGACAAGTAATCAACAGAGCCTTTAATGTAGGATCTCACTATTCGACAAGTATCAGGTACCATGGAGGAGAAAGGAGCAACATAGGGAAAAGCCGGCATGATATCTGTGGTTTGAAGATTAAATGATAGAACATTGTTCTCATAGTCACTTACTTTCTTTATAACCATTTGATCATATGAGTCGTTGGCAAGGAGATCAAGAATTTGCTTTCGACATTCTCCCAAAAGAATCCCATGATATTTCTCACAGCTGCTATCAAGAACCTCAAGAAGAGGACCAACTTCATATCCATACTGTCTCAGAGTGGATACCAGGAGTGTCACATAATCCTTCACCAAGAGAAGATGTGTAGCAGAACGCATAATTGAGAACTGTTTCTCTAAAACCGATGTGATTTTCGCTGAAGCAGTCTCCCACATTGTTTCAACCTGATCTGGGACTAATAGTCCACCTGCAGTTCTTAGGACTCTGTCCTCTACCATGAAGTATCCTACAATTTGAGCCAAATATGCCTGGTGTGAATCAACAAAAGATTGTGCTGAAGATATTTCCAGGTCTGAATTCAATTGCAACAACCTATTCTTATAGTAGTATTCACGAAACTGCTCTCTAAGGCCTAGACAATCGTGTATATGGCAAGCACGATAAAGAGGCGTGAGATCAAACTTGACAACAGAATCCTCATCAGCTTCCTCAACCTCCAAGCTATAAATTTGATCCTCTGACCCAGAGTTCTCCTCAGCCTTCCTTTGTCTTTCCAGCATTTCTTCATCCTTTTGGCGAACCGATGCAGCATGACTGATCACTGTTTGTCCAATAGTTTTAGCAGAACTCCTTAAATGTACCAACCATTCATTGACTTGGCTACATACTTTCTTCTCAACGTGAGATTTTATCACAGGAATCCTCAGTTCTACCACTTTCTTCAGAGCCTTTGCTGGGATATTCTGCAGATAATTCTTCTCAAGCAAATCCACAGTCTTCAGTGCAGGATAAAACTGGCCATTAGATATGTGATTGTTACACTTGACGCAAAGTTCCAACACCTGAATACAATACTTTGACATCTTTATAGCTTCAATCACATTCTGCTTGACGGAATAAGATTCAAAAAGGTCCTCAAGGTTCACAAGAATGCTACTTCCAACCTGCTGTAACTTGAAATTATCACTCTGAAGCTCACTCTTGAGTTCTTCAGCATCAACCAACACGCCTCTGAGCTCATCCACTGCAATAATGAAGTCCTCATAGTGTGTCTTACACATCTCCTCTATTTCAGCCTCCTTCTTCTTCACTACATGTTTCAATTGGTGAAGAAGACCCTCAGGACGCCCCATTTCAAAGGCGTGCCTGACAAGAGGACCAAGATCTTCTCCATTTCCGATCAAAGTCGCTAGAACCAAGTCCTCTCCCTGTCCAGCATCACCATTCTCTGTCGCAGTTCTCCTTTTTCGCCTCTCCATTTGCACTTTGATATTCTAGGAATCTGCAAACACTCTTCTTAAGCACGGCCAAAAAACAAAAGCAACCTTTTCCGCACACAAAAGTAGTATTAAGATGATAACAGTAAACTAATAATTAGCTCTAGAACTATAAAGGTTATCTTTAGTTTCTGCACAGTGTATAATAATTCAGCAGGGACCAAGTTTATCAGTGAAAGTAGGGGATAAGAAAAAGGCCAAAAGAACTGCCCACACATAAATTTATATCCAGAACCGAACACCATAAAAAGATCCACGTGGAAGAAATTAAAAAAGAAAAAAGGCAGATTTACCGGAACAAGACATCCCAAAAGAGAAATTGACAGGAACAAACTAACTAACCAAAACTGGAGATAAATTCAATCGCAAGGTAGTGTGTGGATAACCCAAGAGAAAGAAATAGGCCGAATGGGATCAAACAAACATACCTGGGCTACGTGAGAAATCCCCAAAGGAACAACATGGAAAATGCACACCAAGATTAGCCCTTTTTCATGTTTGATTCCAGAAAAGAACAATGGAATCCAAATGTTGTTAGCACTAGGAATGTTGGTTTGGGATTGGTGACGAAATTTCCGAAGGGCCGGTACGAGTGTGGAGAATGTCACGTAAGGACAATAGCATGGGGAAGGCAGCCTGGTAACGTATCAGCGACCTCTTCGATGTGATTCTCCCATTCACTACTCGCAACCCAACCTCCATACGTTGTTTTTAATATTTTCATTAGCTACTTCTGGATTCAATATTGGATCATTCGTTGGAACAATTCAATGATGACTAAATTAATAGAAAGACAAAAAAAAAAGTATGACTTTCAAAAATTAATAAATATTTTACAATTTAAAAGTTAAGATATAAATAAGTATGTGATTTTTTTTTTTACTTTTATTGTATACATTTATTTTATAATTTCCTAATGGACACGCATTTCTTGCACTTTTTTTTTTTGGCATTTTTTCTTCTCTAATGGTTATAATTAACATTAGATATACACAAAATATATATTATAACAACAGTATAAGGTGCTAAAATATTACCTCCGGTCTTTAATATAATATTTCGTTTGATTTTTATTTTAATCATAAATATAAGACCCCAATCCATTTTGTCTCTCATATTTATGCATTTTTCCCAAGTAGTCCTTCTAATAATAGTAGTTCTAGCCAATACACTCGATTAGCAAGAATATTTTAGGAAAGACAATACATATTTATTACAAATAACTAATTTAACTTTTTTTTAAATTTTCTCAAATTAGTCAATTAACTCTTATAATTAGGATGGAATGTAGTATTTTGTTATTTGATATAAGAGATGATATAATATACAGATTTTTGTAAATAGACGTGCAATCTCTAAATTGAGTAGTAAATTTTTTTAATATTTTTTTTGTTTTTCTTATAAATTTAATGGGGGAATATAAGATTTAAGAACTACGAATGGTTGGTTTAGTTCTTTAGTATTTAAGGCACCATCAAGTAATATGGGTGAATATTAATGCTGTCAAAAAATGCTTAAGAAGTGAGAAATCAATGTCTCTTATTAATAGTATGATACCCATACCTATATTTACATGTAAGTTGGCTTAGTGTTTACTTTTTTTTTGGGGTAAGGGTGTTAGTTGGCTTAGTTGATAATAAATAAATATTACTTTAATTTGTCGTATTACGTTGGATTTCCCTTCAGAATTTCCATTCAAAGCAACTTCTCAAATTAAATTTTCATACTATCTCATGTATTTTGTTTTTAACAAATCCTTAAGTCCATAATTTATTGGAGAGTTCCTATTCTTTCTTTCTTCCTTTTTCTTTTCATGTGGACTCGTTGCCATTTAATGCTTTAATAATACATGTTGTTGCCGATGCGGCTTCCACCATAAAAACACATTTCCATTTTTAAGAAATAATAAAATGATCTCCTAATAAAAATAACATCTTTTAACCCATCGTCCGTGGGTTCAACTGGCAAAGGGGTGAGACATATGACCAAGTTGGCATGTGTTCGATCCCTGGGGAGTACCACTTTGTTGTGGTTCCAGTCGCGGCGCTTGGGGAGGCATCCTAGCTCTTGGGTGCCTAAGTAAACGCCTGAGGGTAATTGACGGCTCGCTCTGCCCAACATTGGTATGACCTAGGAGGAAGGGAGATTTCACTCTACCCTTGGATCGTGGGTGAGCCCAACCCCTTTCCAAAAATTTTATTACCAAAAAAAAAAAAACATCTTTTATGGCAAACCACAGTTAAGGACACAATTTAGAGAGAAAGGGAAGCAATATTTAAGGACAGGAAAAGTTGAATCTTGAGTCTAAAAAACACAAACTATGATGCTGCTGCCCCACAGCAATATTACAGAAATCAAGAAGTTATTACAACTTAAGATTAAAGTATAGGCACACACACTATATAATTAAAAACTCTTCAAATGGCATGATATACAGTTATTAATAATTGTTAAGTTCCGACAAGTATTGATTTGATTCAACGGCCAACTACTTCCCACATGGGAATTGAACCAACCAAACCAACTGGTTTTTCTCTTAGGCAACAACAACAGTCTCAGAAGACTTATTATTCTCATTCTCAGATGATACTGCAGTTTTAGAAGGCTTGTTTTCAGGCTCAGCTGGCGCTTCATTTTCAGCAGCAGGCTTGGCTTCAGGCTCAGCTGGTGCTGCAGTTTCAGCAGCAGGCTTGGCTTCAGGCTCAGCCGGTGCTGCAGTTTCAGCTGGCTTGGTTTCTGGCTGCACCGGTGCTTCGGCTTCCCAGAAGGCAGTCTTCTTCCCGGTTTTGGATACAGTCTGCAGAACTGCCTCTGGCTGCACATTTCCTTTCACTGTCACTTTCTGTTCCTTCATATCAATGTCATAAGATTCTACACCTGCAGATAAAAACACCATTATAATATTAATGGGACATATGAAAAGGAATAGCTAGTCTCAATAGAGCCATTTATTGAAAATTAGGTCAGCCCTGTAAATTTGCTTCTATCACACTCTTCTACCAAGAGAACCAAAATGATTGAGCCAATAAGAATGAACTGGTTAGATAAAAATCTGTTGTAATAGATCAAGTAATGAGTAAGAAAAAAGCATATCTTCCGGGCTACGGGTGGAGCAACAAATAAAGCAAAACAAGTTCAAGAGAACATTAAATTGGCAAGAAGTTGGGATGCTAAACCTTGAAATTTCTGGTAACATGTCATAATCCCTCAAGTGAGGTAAAGCAAGATGTCAAATTGAGCAATAGAATAGAGAGAACAGGGGAAAACAGGAAAGGATAGAAACTACAGGAAGTTTCAGAATTAAGGAAACACACAACAACCACTTGAAACCAAAAATTGTTGGTGAAGATAAATGATAGCTAGTTGAACGATAGAAATTGCAGAAACTCAAGTGTCTAGAGCATGGTATGCATGATATTCATAAATCCACTTGAGATGGGAATCAAATAGAAAGAAATAATTTACACTGGAAAAGTGGAAAGTTAATTTAAAGAAGAAGAAGAAGAAGCAGAAAAGAGTTCATGGTGGAAGCAAAGTATACCTTCCATTTTGTCTAAAACTCTTCTCACTGCACCAGCACATCCTTGACATGACATGCCAACTTTGAGGGCAACAGTCTACACCCACACAGTGAAAATTTTAGGTCAATATATAATGAAAAGGGGAGAACACTACCCCCTAAGCGACACAAACATAAAACAAAAACATTCAAAATTACTTTAAAACTCGAAAACATTGAAATAATTTTAAGAAGAGGAAACAAAGGCAAAAATAGAAGTAGTGCGATCGTAAAGCATAACACAATAACCCTTTGTTGCTTCACACTTTAATGGTCATATATGTGATGTACGGATAAGAATAAGAATTGAGAGGTCCACATAAACCACGGGAACCAGGATTATGGGTTCATATTCAAAAGGAATATCTAAAAGATGAAATCGAGCCCAAAAACTTTTAACTAAAATCGAGCTAATGATACTAGTGCATTGTGATTAACTTTAGAGATCATAAAAGCATAACCCATCAGTTAAAGCACTTTAGTCCCTCAAGCCACGGCTGAAAACTGCCCTGTTCAACAACTTTGTAAAAACACCCATATCAGGATACCTTGGTCCTTCTAAGCTATTTCAAAACCTAAAACACGACCCATGAATTTCCCACAACCCCTAATTCAAATTTCATTCCCAAAATGGTATCAAACTACAGTTCAAGGAATCAGGATTCCTGATAAATCAGCTCAGAAACACACCCCAATTCAGCAAAAACATTCAGAACAATAAGAGAAACTCGTACATGGAATAGAATTATAGATTAGAAACAAAGACATGAAGAAATAGAAGGACCCAAAATTGAATTATCATGATCACGCCCAAGAAAAGTGATGAACAAAACCAGGAGGCGAGAGCATGAAATAGAAGAAAAATCAAGGAAGGAAAATAAGGGGTAGGATGAAGGACCTGAGCCATGGTGATGGGTGTGGAAGAAGCTGGAGAAGCAATCGAGAACGAATGAATAGAAGATGAATTCTATGCGTTGTTTGTGAAGATGATGAAGCGCGAAAGAATCTTATATAGACACAGACCCATGATGGTGCGAAGGAAGAAAGTTTGGAAGAACGTCTCCATAATTATAAAAATTAATAGTTTTTTAAAAGATACTTGGTGGACAGGTGGAGGTTGGCCGGCTTGGGTTGGGTGACCAGCAATGGCCACTTGAGATTCGCACTTTATGGCATTCGAATAATTGTGACATTTTCGTGAAGTCTTACTCTAATTACAGACATTCCTGTAATGTAATTCTTACGTGTCTCACATTTGTAATGGAATGGGCATCTATTTTGGTCATTACAAGAACCTGCATGGCGGTTTGCAATTTTTGTTGTTACTATCTTCGTTTTTTAATACAAGAATCACTTAATTAATTTGAGTATATTGAAAATATTAAATAAATTAGTTAATTAAAATAAATATGACATGATTTTTTTAAAAATATTATTGTATTACACCAAATTATATATATGAAAAATTTGAGAATAAATTTCTTGTTAGAAATTTAATTAGTAAATAATTCATAGGATAATGGATCACATAAGAAAAAAATAAGTTGTACACAAAAAAAGTTAAGTTGCATAAAGAAAAAATGACTTGCATAAAGGGAAGTTGAGATTACATTGTATAAGAAAAAATGATTTCACACTAGAAAAGATGGATTGCACATAAAAAAAAAAGTTAAATTGTACATCATAAAAATTGAGTTGCACAAAATTCTTAGGTATTATTTGCCAACTAAGCTGTTAATTAGGTGTTTATTCCCAATTTTCCTTCTCTATATAAATAAATTTATAAATTAGATCACTTAGATTAGAAAAATGATAACTAAAGTGAATTAAAGCTTTCTATCTAAGATCAAATATAATTGCGTATTAAGAAGAGAGAATAGAAAGAAAAATTGTTAAAAAAAACACAAAACTAGAATTTGTTTTAAGCCAATCTAGTATTTTAGTTTTCTTCGTGCTTTGTTGTTTGATTTTGGAGAATTTTCCCAATCCAATGAGAGAATGTCATATTCAAGGCTATATTTTAGTTTGTTTGCATGTCTTTTAATACAAAAAGACAGCATATTAAAAATTAAGTAAAATTATATCATGATAAATTCTTATAAAGATATTGGAGCACAAAGAAAAACCAAAATAAAAATAGCAAAAACATGAACGCCAGAATGAGAGAGAAGAGCTTGGAATTACATAACTCACACTCTAATACTACAAGATATATAATAGGCAAACATAAGCAAAAGGGGAAGTCCACCACACAATATTTTATTATTGAAAGAAAAGTAATACAAAAGTTTTCAAAAAATATGTGTATAATATATCTTTCCATCATATTTTTTATTATAATTATAGTATTGTATATTTATTTAGTGTCTTATAATTTAATAATATGAAAACTCTCATGTTTACTTGTAACCTCATCATATTAGTGCCTCTGAATCTAAATAAAAAAATAATACTCCTCCTGATTTTTAATATAAAACTTATTTTGTAGTGCAACTTACATTGTAAAGTAAGTCTTATACTACTATTAAGGACTTGAGGAGTATATCATATCTATTTATAATTGGAATGGGAGTTTAAAATCGTTTATATTATTTATTTATAATTCATAAATAATGTGTGACTCACTATATACTCTTTCAATCCTTAATATAACACCTATTTAACTAATTTGATTAGATTAAGGAAATTAGATAAGTTAGTTAATTATAAGAAATATGATATGTTTTTTCTAAAACACCATAATTGTTTTTCATAATATCCTTACTCGCTCACTTACTTAATTATGATTAAGAAAATATCCATAGAGATAATTTAGAAAAAAATGATAAATATGAGAAATAAGTATTATATTTATGACCAAAATTAATTTAACAATTAGGTTCTCTATTAAGAATCAAAGAGTATATTCTTAAAATTTTGAATTAATAATTACAATTTATAAAAGATCCACAGTAAATTTAATTTCATAATAAATTGAAAAGCTGACCAATCAAACAAAACAAATGAGTTTGGGAAAAAACTAAAACGAATAACTGTTCATATTGCTGCGAGCAAACAATCACTATGAATGAACTAGCGACTACTTATGAAGTCTAATAATACTCAAATTTAATTTGAAAATATTGGATAACAAATCATTTTGTTATTACAATTTCTTCAGACAAACAAAAATTATACAATAATTTTATGATTTAAAAAAAAAAATCATTGTGAATCGCCAACACTGATGATGTTCTCAATTGAAATATGCTTATACTTGGTAAGTTCTTGTCGTGACGAACTTGCTGTCCCCTTTTCTTTTCTTTTTCTTTTTCTTTTTTGCCTTCTTTTTAAGAAAACGATACTTCTTTAAAAAGTTTAGCAATTGTCATAATAATGTTCTGCAATTCAAATTCTAATACATTTCATTAAATAAAGTTGAATAAAAATCATTTTCAGGTTGAAGAGAAATAATGTTTTCTTAATTTTTTAAAAAATATTTATTTCATTGAAAGCCACATATTTTTTGGAAAAATTACTAGATCCCAAAACCAAAAAAGTTATAATTACTAAAAATTTTAATGACAAGTGAAGAATACGAATCTTGTTAATATTTTCTGTACTGAAATTTATCATTCACGTATTATAAAATATTTTTTTTTCCTCTTATGATCATACAGTGATTTTCCCGACGTTTTGCCATACATAAATGATACATATGAGTATAATATGTTGATAATTAAATTTCATACAATATATTGATCAGATATTGAAGTTGATGATTTGTCACCGCGTTCATCAGTGCTACCATAAGACAAATAAAAGTCTTAAATAAAAGAAAATTTTATAAAAGTAGTGATCAAATATATATACATATATATATTTTTATCATAGTAATATATTTTTCGTTAGGTGGCATATATATATATGTATAGGAAATAAAAATAAGTTGCATAAATAAATAAGAGGAAGTAGTTAGAAGAATGATGAGAAGGATTTGGTGGATTGGTTTGATTGGCGGTACAACGTCAGTACCCTCTTCCCTCATGTGAGAACCTTTTGTGCTGTCATATATATGTTGTACTCCTAATTACTGTTGTACCAAATACAACAAAACTAAATCTTATCTATTTCCTTATTACCAAAAAATATTTATTCATTTATTTAAAAAAAAAAAAAAGTTAATGCGGGCTATGCTTATAAATACTACTTTTAGTTCTTAATATAAGAACTAGTTAATTCATTTAAGTAGATTAAAAAAATTAGTTAAGTTCTTTGTAATAAATAGGTTTTATCTTTATTAAAATATCCTTACTAATCATGTGTACGAATTAGAACTACTATTTGATAGAACCTTTAACATATGCACTACTATAAGGACTGTTTTTAAAAAATAGATAAATTTGAGAAAAAAATAAATTGCAGTTTTGTTTATTTAAGACTAAATTGAAAACCAAATTAACTCTTATATTAAGAATCGGAAGTGATATTAAATAACAAGACACTAGAGGTGACATGAATATTGAACTTTATAATATATATTCGTAGAGGATAAGAATCACAGAACCTGCATCAGAGGTTCAAGTTTGAAGTTGTGATCCCGCGAATTAAAAGGCCTTACAGACACTTTAAGGACATGGTGTTGACATTTTCCATTAATCAAGTGCATGCTCAGTTCTTTGCTTTTTTCTTTGGCCAAAAAATTTAACAAAGTGGATCTTTTCTGCGTCTGTATGTGATTTTATTGAGGGACCATTTTATTCTTTTTAAATTTAACAATGGGGTGATTATATTTTTAAATACAAGTATTTAGATGGCTGTCATTCACAACCTCCTTTTTCTTCCCTATTAGATGAGTAAAATATAAGATTATAAGTAGAATTGAATTCGTAACCTCTCACTTATTGGCAAACTTTCATACCGCTAAGTTACAAGGTTATTAGGATAACATTCATAATTTTTAAATATTACCATTTTATACAGATAGAAAATGGGAATATTGCATTCAATTCCATTTGAAAATAGTCAAATCCCACTTCGGTCCACTAAATTCAACAAATCTGAAATATCTAAAGAATTCTTGTTATTCACTTCAACCAGGGAAAGAAGTTGTTATCGTTAATGCCCTATCTGCAACTGTAGATATCTAAAATATTACAGTGAATATCTTATCCTTAATATAAGACCTAGTTCTAAATATAAAACCCAAATTCATTTTGTTTCTCATATTTATATATTTTTTTCTGAGGTAGTTCTTCTAACAATGATAATTCTAGCCAATACACTTAATTAACAAAGATATTTTAGAAAAGACAACACGTATTTATTACAAATAACTAACTTAACTTCTTTCCTTAATCTCCTCAAATTAGTCAACTAGCTCTTATAATTAGAATCAGAGATAATAAAAAAGTTTATATTATTCACCTCAACTAGGGGAAGAAGTTGTTACTTGTTAGTGTCTTGTCTGTTATTGTGGATAGCTAAAATGTTGTTGGCAAAAAAAATGAAAAAAGAGAGATTTGTTGAGATTAATGAAACAAAGGGATTTAAAGGAAATTCTTCTTAGAAAAATATCATAACCTCCAATAATAAATTACACTCGCAACCCAAATCAATTCGCTAGGCTTTTTAAAAACCGCCGGTGAGATACATACTAAGTACAAATTATCATTAGGTCCATCAATCTTGCCAACCATCGATAAACTAATCAGATTAATCAACCAAAATTAGTTTTAAGTCAGTCTATATCGATCAGAAGGAAAATCTTACTAACAGTTGGAAGATAGTAAGAAGTCATAGCAAACCGCATTATTACTTGATGTTAGTTTTTTTTTTCTTTTTAACCAGGAGAAAAAACGATACTACCTCTGAATTAAAATATAAAATCTAATAATTTGTAATACACTACAAATTAAGTTTTATATTTTTATATTAAAAAAATAGATTTTATATCTAAGATCAGAAATAATAGAACAATGACAGGGACGTCGTGTTTATTCAATCATACAACTCTCTCAAGATCAAAAAAACCCCACTACCAAAAAAGGAATCCTAATATAATGTTACTTCTACTTCAAGTAAAATCCTCATTATTCGCTTTAGTTATCACATCTATCATACTTTTGTTTCCCAAAAAAATGAAAAGAAATTGGTCCAGAGTTCTTGTAGTGGTTGGTTCACACTAGATCTCCAATTTCAACCAATCCTAACAAATTTCGTTGTCCCACCCATTTTCTTTACTTTATTGGTCGAACCATATTCTTCAATTACGTCAGACTTAGGGGGTGTTTGGCAAAACCAAAATCTAGGTTTCAGAATCACTTTTCCGCAAAACGAGGTAACCTCCTCCACATATTTACTTCGTAATCCGTAAAAGCACTTCTGAAACCATGGTTTGGTTTCTATCCAAACACCCCCTTAGTCAAAGGTGGCCCCATCGAAAAATTTCTGGGAGAAAATAATATTTTGTAAATATATATAATTAGAAAATTATTAGATACGATGATGCAGATTAGAGCTGTCAATAAGAGCTAGCTCGGCCCTAAAAGGCTAGCCTTTGAAGGGCCAGGGTCTAAAAGGGCCGGCCCTTTAAAGCCCACATACCTTAAAATTATCTAATTATTAAAGCCCGGCCCTTGGACATGCGGGCTCAGGGCCTAAAAGGGCTAGCCCTTTTATGTTATTTTTTTAAAATTTAAATTCTTTTTAATTATTTTAAAATAAAAAATAAAACAACAAAACTTCTAAGATTTTTTATTCAAATTATAAATATAAGTAAAATAAATTAGTGGTGTATAGAAAAAAAAATTAAATGCCAATAAACTATTGTCCAAAATAAAAAAAATCAAAATCTAACAAAACACGAAAAACAGAAAGATAAAACCTAACAGTTAAAGATTAACAATATCAACATAATTATTATCTTTATCTTCATCTTCCTCAGTATCATCAAGATCAGCAATATTTGATTGTTTTTTACTACAAGTGAGCTCTTCTTCAGTGTTAAAAATATTAAGGTTTTTGTCTTCATTTACCTTATCTAAAATAAAACTATACAGTAGTTATAAGTACAAACAAGAGCCTGAACATCTGTTCGAATAAGAAAAGTTTTACACTTTGTTAAGATATGTAAACTGATGGTAAATGAAGATCTACTAGCTATTATGGTGATTAAAATGTTAAGAATATCAGCTACCATTCTTGAAAGAATTGAAAATTGATTTTAATTGTTCTTCCACAAGTCCAAGGCATCTAATTCTTTTCAATTATCTAGCTTGAGTATTGATTCTTCTAAGTATTTTTCTAATTTAAACTTATTCATAAAAGACTAATCTATAACTTTATAAATATATTGATAATAATAAAAAAAATAGGCGGGCTTAAAAGGGCTAGCCCTTGGCCCTAAAGGGTTGGCCCTTTTATTTTTGAGCCCTATAGGGCTAGCCTTTTTAAGCCCAATTTCCTTTTAAACCACTTAAAATACAAACCCGGCCCTCTACTTAAAAGGGCTTAAAAAGGATGACCCGATGGGCTTAGCCTGTTTTGACGGCTCTAATGAAGATATGCACTAGAGATAAATGTACCATCATTTGGGTGAGAGGTGAGGGCATGAAAATTAAATTAGTAGCAAGTGATCCTCTTATTGGGCCAACTGACACTTCTCTATGTGACTTTTCTTAGTGGGCCTCATGTTGGGCCGAGACGCCACTAAGTAGTAACCAAGAATAAAATCTAAATAAATAACATTAGTGTACCTAAAATAATAAATAAATAACATTACACCAGTTTAACGGGAAGAAAAAAAGAAAAAGAAAAGTAACACCAGAACGGCTGATCAAAATGTTATATGTTGGATTGTAGCAAAAAAAAAAAAAGTTTGATATTGGAGAAAAATGAAGACGATGAAGCAGATTAAAAAGAATCTCATTATGCGGTTTGGGCCAACAGCGTTAAAAAGAGAATTATCTTTTTCTCCAGGCTTGGGCCTTCATTGCAACCCCAAAAACAACGAGAGAATCCTCTTTTCTCTCGCATGCCCAACCAACCCTGCCATTGTTACATATCTTGTACTTCCAAGCCAATAATCTATGCCTCTCAAATTCATTTTCCACCATTGCCTATTGATTTGACAATATATATGTATGTATATAACAATGGCTTTTTTATCCGGATACGACAAATAGTAAAAAAAATTACTCAGATGCTATAAGATAAAAAATATTTACTCAGATACTACACTTGAAATTGTTCAGACAATGAATGAGTTTAAATTTGTACAGAAGTCATTCAGGCCAAGAACAAGTTCAGTGGGACTCACATCACAAAATAATGAAAGTTGTTCTTGGTCTGAACAACTTCAGTGGGACCCACATCACAAAATGGAAGTTTTCTTGGTCTGAACAACTTCAGTGGGACCCACATCACAAAATGGAAGTTGTTCTTGGTCTGAACAACTTCAGTGGGACCCACATCACAAAATGGAAGTTGTTCTTGGTCTGAACAACTTCAGTGGGACCCACATCACAAAATGGAAGTTGTTCTTGGTCTGAACAACTTGAGTGGGACTTACTATACACATTTGTTTTATACTCCACGTGGGTTCCATGCGTTTTCAGTTTTTTTATTTTTGACCAGACTATACTTTTGCCTTTTCTAGCCACACACGCAAAGTGCTCCTTCCTTTCCCAAATATTCCCATCAATATAGAGTAGTCATTTATTGTCTCTCACGCGTGAGTACTTTGTTTTGGCATGTGAGTGTATGGTATGAATTCTGTTTCTATAAGGCATTTGGCATTTCCACTCATCAGAAGTCTTCTCCCCAGTTCTCAAATTCTTTTTTCTCTATATACAAGGCATTCGCGTGAAGTAGGTGAATACGTTTTAACTCAACTTCAATTCTTCTTTCTCTATATATAAGGCATTCGCGTGAAGAATTGAATACGTTTTATCTGCAACTCCTTCAATTCTTCTTTCTCCTTCCACACTTTTGCATGAAATTGGTGGTGTGTGCGGCCTTGCAAATATTGTATACATTTTATCTCAACTTGAAGCTTAATTTTTCTTCTGACTAAGATACATTTTCTTGATTAATTTTTTTTTAATTTTGATATGTATTTTGCTAAATGATAGATAAGAATTTTATATTTAGTCATTTTTATATAAGGGGAGCTCGAATTTCTGTAGAACAAATCAAGAACCTCTTTTTTTTTGTTTATATATATAATAAGGTTCGGATATTGATATAATTCATCCAATTCAATTCTTCTTTGTAGTACAATGCTTTATTCGATTTTGCTTCATTTATCATATTTCTCGTTTAGTTTAGTTTGAATTTAGGTTTATGAAATTTAAAAAAAGAGTCTTTATGTCACGTTACAGAGGACCTCGTTTAAAAAAAAAAAAAACGTTGTCTGGGGGCTTTATCAGGACTAACTAGCAAAAGGCCTATAGTCGAAAGCGAACTTAGAGTCTTTTGCTAGTTAGTCCTGATAAAGCCCCCAGACAACGTTTTTTTTTTTTTAAACGAGGTCCTCTGTAACGTGACATAAAGACTCTTTTTTTAAATTTCATAAACCTAAATTCAAACTAAACTAAACGAGAAATATGATAAATGAAGCGAAATCGAATAAAGCATTGTACTACAAAGAAGAATTGAATTAGATGAATTATATCAATATCCGAACCTTATTATATATATAAACAAAAAAAAAGAGGTTCTTTTCTTGATTTGTTCTACAGAAATTCGAGCTCCCCCTATATAAAAATGACTAAATATAAAATTCTTATCCATCATTTAGCAAAATACATATCAAAATTAAAAAAAAATTAATCAAGAAAATGTACCTTAATCAGAAGAAAAATTAAGTTTCAAGTTGAGATAAAATGTATACAATATTTGCAAGGCCGCACACACCACCAACTTCATGCAAAAGTGTGGAAGGAGAAAGAAGAATTGAAGGAGTTACAGATAAAACGTATTCAATTCTTCACGCGAATGCCTTATATATAGAGAAAGAAGAATTGAATTATATGAAGAATTGAAGTTGAGTTAAAACGTATTCACCTACTTCACGCGAATGCCTTATATATAGAGAAAAAAGAATTTGAGAACTGAGGAGAAGACTTCTGATGAGTGGAAATGCCAAATGCCTTATAGAAACAGAATTCATACCATACACTCACATGCCAAAACAAAGTACTCACGCGTGAGAGACAATAAATGACTACTCTATATTGATGGGAATATTTGGAAAAGGAAGGAGCACTTTGCGTGTGTGGTTGGAAAAGGCAAAAGTATAGTCTAGTCAAAAATAAAAAAACTGAAAACACATGGAATCCAAGTGGAGTATAAAACAAATGTGTATAGTTGGTCCCACTAAAGTTGTTCAGATCAAGAATAAACTTTCATTTTGTGATGTGGGTCCCACTAAAATTATTTAGACAAAAAACAATTTTTATTTTGTGACGTAGGTCCCACTGAAATTGTTCAGACTAAGAACAACTTTCATTATTTTGTAATGTGGGTCCTATTAAACTCGTTCTTGGCCTGAACGACTTTTGTACAAATTTAAACTCGTTCGTCGTCTGAACGATTTCAGGTGTGGTGTTTGAAAAATATTTTTGATCTTATAACATCTGAGTAATTTTTTTTTCACTGTTTGTCGTATCTGGATAAAAAAACCATATAACAATAGGTAGCATAATATTTGGTTTAAAAAAAAAACTTTATTTCCATGCATGTTCTGAAGTGTTCTTAGAATAAGCATCATCAATAGCACGTGCAAAGCATATAAATACACAAAGCACTTCATTCGATTGAAACCAGCCTTTGTAGAATACTAATTGGTCTGAATATGTTATCACAAACAACAAATATTACTCAATTTAGAATTAGAATCCTAAAACTACTTTTTACCCCCAAAAAATAAAATCCTTAAACTATCAGAAGTTCCACTTGATCTCATTCATTCAACATTGTCCTCTCCCTCTCTCTATATATACTTTTCGCCAACGATATTTTTCTCTAATAAAGGGTGCTACTGCCATTTTTTTTTTTTTTTAAATGTTGTGGGCATATAAAGCTATGGGCTGGTGTGAGAGACAGAGATCAAACTTCAAAGAGCATGAAGCATTATCTCATCCTTTAAACTGCCATTCCCGACGGCACATAGGGCAATGAGCTTGCGAAGTCTGAGAATTCACCCATTTCAGTATACAGTGCAAATGAAAAGCATGATTGCATGCTCCCCAAACTGCAAGACGTAAAAAGAAACAGTTAAATTTTTCCCCCCTTAAAAAGAATAATAATTAAGGAACAAAAGAAGAACATGATGACATCCCCAACAGGAACCTAAAAAATAAAGATAATAACATATTCATCAAGTGTGCAACAAAATAGGCCAATCTTTCTGCAACACTGAGAGAGCAAAACAACAACAACAACAACAAGCCTTATCCTACTAGGTGGGGTCGGCTACATGAATCACACGACGCCATCGTGCTCTGTCAACAACCCAATCCTTAGATATGTTATTGACTAGGAGGTCTCTTTCAATGACCTCATTCAACGTTTTTTTCGGTCTTCCCCTGCCTCTTTTTATGGGACTCCATCTTGTTTGATCCACCCTCCTCAACGGGACCTCCAAAGGCCTTCTCTGCACATGTCCAAACCATCTTAAGCGATTTTCAACCATTTTTTCTTGGATAGGTGCCACACCAACTCTTGTCCTGATCTTTTCATTTCGAATCCTATCTTTTCTTGTATGACCACACATCCATCTCAACATCCTCATTTCTGCTACTACTCCGACTTTGTGCTCTTGTTTTCCCTTTATTGCCCAACATTCACTACCATACATCATAACTGGTCTTATAGCAGTCTGATAAAATTTTCCTTTAAGTTTCTCAGGTACCTTCTTATCACAAATAACTCCGGTAGCTTTCCTCCACTTTAACCAGCCAGCTTGTATTCTATGAGAAATGTCTCCATCAATTTCTCCATCCTCCTGTATAGTGGATCCTAAGTATTTAAACTTTAATACTTGAGGGATAATTTGTTCTCCCATCCTCACCTCCAAATCCCCATTACCTTGCCTCCCTCCAAAATCACAATGCATATATTCTGTTTTGTTCCTGTTCAAACGGAAACCTTTCGACTCCAAAGTCCTTCTCCATAACTCCAAACTAGTGTTAATCTCTTCTTTTGATTCCGCTATAAGGACAATATCATCCGCGAAGAGCATGGACTTAGAGATTCTTTCTTGAATAGGTTCAGTTAGAACATCCAGAATAATGTTGAACAAGTACGGACTCAGAAAGGATCCCTGATGTAGGCCAATCTTAATAGGGAAGTCCTTTGTCTCCCCTCCAGGCGTCCTTACACTGGTAGTTACCGCCTCATACATATCTTGTATGGCTTTGATATAAGCAACCCGTACACCTTTCTTTTCCAAAGCCTTCCACAATACTTCTCTTGGCACACGATCATAAGCCTTTTCCAAATCAATAAAAACCATATGTAAATCTCTTCTTTTACTTTTATATCTTTCCATTAACCCCCTTAGTAAATAGATTGCTTCCGAAGTGGATCTCCTTAGCATAAATCCAAATTGGTTTTCCGAAATAGAAGTCTCCAACCTCAACCTATATTCCATCACTTTTTCCCACAACTTCATTGTATAACTCATAAGTTTTATCCCTCTGTAGCTTGCACAGTTTTGAATATCTCCTTTATTCTTGTAAATAGGAACTAAAATGCTTCTCCTCCAATCATCCGGCATATTTTTAGAGCGTAGAATTTTATTAAAAAGCTTGGTTAGCCACACCTCCCCCTCATCGCCCAAACATTTCCAAACTTCAATAGGGATACCATCAAGCCCAACGGCTTTTCCATTGTCCATTTTCTTGAGAGCCGCCTTAACCTCTCCGATACGTATCCTGCGGTAAAAAGCCAAATTCCGATCATCTTCGTTAATTAACAAGTCCTGCAAGTCCTGAGTCGCATAGTTGCTTCCCTCATTAAACAACTTGTAAAAGTAAGCCTCCCATCTGTCCTTAATATCACCATCAGTAACCAACACTTTACCATCTTCATCCTTTATACACTTTATTTGGTCCAAATCTCTCTTTTTCCTCTCTTTTTGCTTCGCGATCTTGTAAATATTTCTTTCTCCCGTCTTTGTTCCTAACTCCTGATAAAACCCTTCATAAGCTTTAGTACGTGCTTCGCTCACTGCTCTCTTTGTCTCTTTTTTAGCCAATTGATACTTTTCCCGGTTCTCTACACTATTGCACAAGTGTATGGCCTTAAAACAATCTCTTTTCTGTTTGACTTTCTCCTGCACACTCTTATTCCACCACCAAGTCTCCTTATCTCTTTGACCAGGACCTTTGGATTCTCCCAAAATTGCTTTAGCTACCAAACGAACTCTCGTAGCTATCTCTTCCCACATCATGTTTGCGTTTCCCTGCAACTCCCAAATCCCTTCCTTCAAAAGAGTCCTTTTGAATAACTCCCGCTTTTCTCCTTTAACTGCCACCACTTAATTCTGGTTTTGCCACTTGATGATACTTTTCCCTGGTACTCTTAAAACGCACATCAAGGATAAGTACTCTGTGTTGGCCAGTCACCCCGTCTCCTGGAATCACTTTGCAATTAGTACACAATCTTCTGTCCAGATTCTTAACCAAAAAGAAATCAATCTGTGATTTCGAGACACCACTTTTGTACGTGATTAAATGCTCCTCTTGCTTCTTAAAACAAGTGTTGACAATCTTAAGATCGTATGTAAGAGAAAAATCGAGAATAGATTGTCCTCCACTATTAAGCTCCTCGAAACCAAAACCACCATAGGCCTCACTGAATTGTCCTGCTTCCTTACCAATATGTCCATTAAGGTCCCCACCGATAAAATTTTTTTCTTCAAGTGGTATGCTTTGAACCAAACTCTCCATATCTTCCCAAAACTTATCTTTAAAATGTGTCTCTGTCCCAACTTGAGGTGCATAGGCACTAATGATATTGATAGTATCCTTCCTAATAATTACTCTTAACGATATTATTCTGTCCTCAAACCTTTTAACCTCTACCACATTCTTTTTCCATGTCCCATTAACGATGATACCAACCCCATTCCTTGCGCTCACCTTTCCTGTGTACCAAAGTTTATACTCTCCAAGTTCCTTGGCAGCTTCTCCAATCCATTTGGTTTCTTGGAGGCATAAGATATTAATCCTTCTGTCCCTCATAACTCCTGCTACTTCCATAGATTTCTCATTCAACGTCCCAATATTCCAAGTGCCAAATCTAATCTCAGTCTCATGAACTAACTTCTTTAGCCGTCTCTGTCCAAGAGAGTGCGGTAGCCCTTGCTCATTTAACACTACATCCGGGCGACGATGCAGCGGCTCTAGCTCATTTCTCACTGTACTCGAACCATACAGCGCGTCACTTCTGGGCAACGACCTAGCATTAGCATAATTACTTCGTTGATCCATGTTCATGAGATTCGACGGGTTTTTACGTTGGCTGTCGAGGGCCTAACACAACCCTCCTCCTTTATCCGAGCTTGGGACCGACTATATAATATAGGCGGAGTTTGAGAGAGCAAAACATCTGAGGAAAAAACCATCACAAGCTCCTTTAAAGTAAGTTCAAGCAATTAGTAATAGACTAATTAATTTTGAAATTCTGGATCCAGTCATGACAGGACTTGAACAATAGAACCACTAGACCAGCAATAGACTTAAACTCTCGATAAGATTGACACCGGGAGGTGTGCAGGTCACGCCCTTTCAGAAGGACTTGACTAATGACTATAGCTCCGTTGCACCACAGGTATCTCTACACCTAAAGCCACAGCCACAAAGTTAAGTCCTATAGGTCAGGCAGGAACCTACTTTTCAACCACATTGGCGAGTTGGCAGCTTGTTACTCACCAGTATCATGAATCAACCTTCCGCCTATCTGATCTAGAGTCCAGGGCAACTTTAAACCAAGTATATACCTTTTCTTTTGATGCTCTAAACCAAGTACATATTAACACAGAGGAGAGGTGCAGATAGAAAAACAACTAACAAGCGCTTCTGGTTTGGAGTGAAGTTTGAGGAGGAGGAGAACGTCAGTAGCATTTTAATCTATACACAGTTTTTGGGGAGAATCAAAATTAAGTCCCAAATAAAGAAGTTAATTATTTTCTTAGTCCCATTTACAAGTGGTTGGGACTTGTGGGAGATTTACTTTCTTATTTGGAACATGTATGTAATTTTCCCTAATTCTTTTCAAGTTGTATTCAAAGTAGGAAAAGATGAAGGTGGACTCCCAGATAATCAAATAACCAGCACTCAAGGCTATTGCCTCAGCTGCAGGTCTGAAGATTCAAATTTAAAGAATTCAATCATAATTATTTAGCATGAGTATGAAAGAAGTAATAAAAACCATATGCGATATCATTTGTAACTTACTCAAAGGGCAGTCATCCCCAGGATGTTTACAGTCTGGGCAACAGCCATCAAAGGCCATCCTACAAATCCCACATGTTTCATCCTGAGCGTCCCAAGTCCATGACGCAACAGCATGCCATCTATAATCAACACAAGGGGCAGGAATGTGAACATTTTAAGACAGGAAAACCAGCAACAGTTAAATATGCCAAGGAGCTTCCATAATTAATTAATAGTCCCTAGCATTTACGTGCAAATATAAATTGCGACTACATATGACAAATTAAAAGCTAAAATTTTACATAACAGATCTTCAAGATAGAAAGAAAACATACTCTTTTTGGAAGCCCAGGGGAAATCCAGACAGAAAACTAAGTCAAGCAAAACATTCTGCAGAACATTTGATATACTTACAACAAAATTTTTCATAATTAAACACAAAAACAAACATGTAAATTCAAAACATGGAAATTCTGCTACAACCCAATATAAGAATTTTAAAACTAACTACATTGAAACCTTTATAGCTGCCTGCATCAGATGGGAATCTCAGTTTAAAAGTTCCTGATGCAGATTGTGATAAGCTATTATCTGGCATCTCAGTTCTAAAAGGAGGTCATTTTACAAATCCCATGGTTCCCTCAAACAGATTTAAAATTCCCAATTTACATGCAGCACCAGCCACAGTGAACTATCTATATCTGCACTGTAATTTCAACATTCCAATCTAAAAGTAGAGTAAAACCACTCTCACAACTATATAAGACCCCAGAGAGGAAATAAGACTACTAAAATTCACAATCAAAAACGGAAAAAAAATAAAAACTGAAACAATGAACACAACAAAAAGTAATAATAAGACTAGCATTGCAAGGATACGCAAGACCTTGACTTTCATCTTCTTTCCCTGCAGTCTACAAAAGGAAGCACAATCAAGGTTGGAACTTGAATTTATGAAAAATAACGTAACCAATGAAACAAAATAAAACGCTTACACAAGCCTATACAGTACATCTCAAACCTGTCCAAAACTAGTCTCAATCAAAAAGTGACCAAATCAAGAACTTAATATTTCCTAGCAACGGCGCCAAAAACTTGATGCTACCAAATATTAACAGTGTACAGGCAGTAAAAAAAGAGATAGTGGCATATCAAGATTGATTCCATGAAAAACTCAGTTAACCAATGATTAGGCAATAAAAATCCTCTTTTCGTTTGAGTTGAAAAAGTCAAGATTGAATTTGAATTAAGTGAAATAAAATTCAAATTAAACAAAGCAAGAATTATGAAATTAACAAATACAAACGTCAAAAAAAGAACAACCCAGAGTTACAAATTAATTATTTGCTTCTTAGATATTATCCCTACTGAATTAATTGTAATTAAACTTAATTAGTTAATCTAGAGTCTTACTAGTTAAAAGTGCCTATCATCGACTTATAACTCTATCTCAATTGATTATGTAATCTCTCACAATTATCCAAGGCGCAAATTAATCCAATTTCACTCTAACTTGATTATGTGGAGCCTCTAGGTATATGTCTATCCAAGGTGCAAATTAGTTTAAATCCAATTCCACATTACTTAATCACAAGGCCTATTTCAGATTCCCCTCATCAAGTTCAATCCTAAATTCCCAAAACAAGCTCACTGGTGCCAAGCACTGAGCAAGTTAGAATTAAAAACAAGATTAAGTAAAACAAATTAAAATTAAGATAACTAAACAGTGGGAAGAATCTCTAAATCACAAACAACTTCATAGTTCCTCTAGGTTGCAAAGCAAACTAGCCACACATGACTTTGATCAATCTCAGCTCAACAACATTAACTCCAAAATCAAACATCATACTGGATAAAGAGAAAAGGAAAGCGAACAAAACACTGATGCAAATCTCTCTTCCTCAAGCTCCTCTGGTTCAGTTCGACGGGTTTCTATCTTCACGCCAGCACTGCTTCTCCTCCACCCAAGGCCGTCGTACTTGAAGAAGAAGATGAACAAGCCAGTCGCGCCTTCTCTCTCTTAATTCTGAACCAAAAACAGTAGAACTCTCTCCCAAACTCTCCTCCGTCGAGATCGCGTTCTGCAGCGAAGAAGAAGAACCCAACGGCGTCTCCTCCCACGCAAACTCGCCTTCGAAGGTTGAAGACAAAGAGCTCGAACCAGTCCCGTCCGTCTCTCTCGCTCCCTGAACCACTCAAGCCGAAGAAGATGATCGATGAACACTAATTTGAGTAATTTCCGCCTCCCCTCTTCGATGAACAGCGCTCCCTGTCTCTCAACTCGATGATTTCGGATTTCCTTCTTTGGTCTCCATCAAACGCTGCGTCCCCTCCCGAAGCACGGGTAACTCGTGTTTAGGATTCAAAACCATGAGCCCCAAACGGTGCGTTCTACTTCTGAAAGGAAGAAAAGAAGAGAGAACAAATAAAAGGAAAAACTGAAAAGAAAAGACAGATAAAATAAAATAAAAAGAAAGGAAATAAACTACTCCCTATCTTTCAACTCAGTGAACCAGTCAACTGGCCGGTTTGGTTGTCCCCTATAAGACAAAAAAAAAAAAAACCAAAATGACCTAGAGTAACCCAATTAACTTGACTAATTTGGTGGTTAATTTGGTTGCCTCTTTTTTTTTTTTTAAATGCTATTTTGATGACCTTTTTTTTTCTTTTTTCAGGTAGTTGATAATTCTTATTTAGTGATTGAAGGGTTGTGAGGAGGAATATTTTGTTGGGAGAATTACAATCAAGTTCTAAGAAAGGAAAATAATTACTAAAATGTCCAAATAACAACATAAGCAGTCTATAATAACAAGTTCTAAAGTAGAGAATAATAACCTCTTAGACTTGTTTTGTACCCTTACTTAAGACCTTATTGTAATTCTCCATATTTTATTATCATTTATCTATTTTGATATTTTGCTTGGATCAATACCTAGTAATTTTAGTAATATGATATTATGATTTCAATTTACGGAAGGCATTGCATAAAAAGTTGACAAGAAATTACAAGTATATGATTATTTTATTAATAATTCAATGTATTAAATTGACATTTAATCCTGGGATGGTTTGGTGAAAATTTAAATGTTTTTTTTATTTTTTTTTATTTTTACCCATTTGACTCTTGGTTGACTTTGATCTAACCTAATGACTCTTGACTTACTATCTCGACTGGTCTGTATCTTGATTATAATCCTCCAAAATCACTCAAAATACTCTTTAAATATATTAAAAATTGAGAGTTATCAATTTTAACACAGAAGAATATCACAAGGCACAGACTTGGGAATATACAAATAGTAGCCAAACCATATCAAGGTCAACATTTACCCCACTAATTTAAATACCAAAACATATCGTTGGCAAGCAAGAAGATATTGACAAAAAAAAAAATCAAAATAAGCAGTCAAATAGTTAGACCCATACCTATTGCAAGAAATACCCCAGACGCTGGAGCATTCATTGTTTAACATGTATTTTTTATCAACTTTGAAGAATACATGATGAGTTGCTCGCAACGCACAACATCTTAATCACATAAAATGAGGCGCGGAGCACATACCAACAAACTAAAAATTGTGATTATGCCTATTGGAGTAATGTGTGGAAGAAGAGGCGAGAATGGAAGACTTTTGCAACAAAATGAAGAGCTGTCAAAGTAGATTGGAGCAAACCGGATAGAGACGATGAGGATTGGAGAGCGGGAGTAGGAGGCTGAAGGAAATTTCGATCTGGCCTTCCTCCTGCCCTCTGTTATTATGGTCCACTACCTGTCCTCTGCCAGGAGGCTGAAGCGTAATGTTTAGTGAGTAAAATGAAAACTACAAGGAAACAATAAATCATGCAATGACAAAGTTTAAAAATTTTTATTAGGGAGCAAAAAAAAAAAAGAAGAAGAAGAAGAAAAAGTCTGGCATATATTCTAAATAAATACTAAAATAAATCTTTCTTGAGAAAATATAACCACAAATTTCTAGATAGAAATAGTAATTAGTAGGATTAAAAATATCGGGATTCAACATTTTATATATATTATTTTTATTTTTTTAATAAATTCATATTCTTTTCATCTCTAACCCTCTGTTTGGACTGGGGAAAAAATTGGAAGGAAAGAAAATGGAAGGAGAGAAAATAGGGAAAAGAGAAAAATAGAGAGAAAAAAATATGATCACCTCTCTTCTATGGATAAACAAGAAAAAATAGAAAGGAAAAAATGAATAAATATTGAATAACTAAAATACTTTTCCTCTTATATCAAAATGTATCATGATTGAAATCAAATTAAATATTATAATGAAAATCATATTAACATTAACATCATCAAATAATTTAAAATCATATTATTTGATAAAGATATTTTATCATGTTATTATATTGTAATATCAAATAGTTTTATAAAAAAATTATTTTTTAGAAGAAAAAATAGTATTTGTTTAACGCAAAAAAAAAAAAACAACATCTCTCCTTATTGTCCCTTTAACTTCATTTCAGAAGCATTTTTGCAATTTTAGTTATTTTACTGTTCAATCAAACAAACTTAGGAGAAAGACATGAAAATAATAAATGAAGTAAAAAATAAATAGGTATTATTTTACTAAAAAAACAGATATAGCGGTAGAAAGGAAAAATGTTTTTTTCCCTCATTTTCTCTTTGTATGTGGAGAGCAAAGTTTGGAGGAAAATGAGGTGTGAGATCTACATCATTTTCTCCTTCACTTTTCGTTCCTCACACTTTTTTCCCTCATCTAAATAGGAAAAAAAATCTTTTTTCATTTTCTTCTTTAGTTTTTCTTTCTTCATTATTTTCTCTCCACCCAAACATAGTATAAATCTACACATCCTATTAAAGTGAAAAAAAATAAATATTTCTTATAAAAATGTAATAATTATTTTTTTAAAGAAAGTATTGCTTTTGAGTTTTTTCCTTCAAATATTTCAGAGGGTAAGTAGTAAATCAAGAAGGTTGTTGTTATCCAAATCTTTCCCTTATATGTACTTCTAATTAAATATGGGTATTTTAAAAAATTGAAAAATTCATTGAAAAAAATATATTGAATTTTTCATTTTAAATATATAACAATTTTTTCTGAATATTAGAATGGTATCAGATTCATTAAAATTCAAATTAATTATTTCAACCCTATCACTATTAATTAGAATTACAATTAATTCTATAAATAATTCCCAATAATAAGGATAATTAATCTTAAGGTCCTTATAGTTTTATCTGATTTTTAATTAGATCCCTGTTAAATTTTTCTTTTTCTCATATCCTTTTATTTTCTCCTGTTTTTAATTAGGCCCATCTATTTTTTTATCATGGCCGTCATCAATGCAGCTGATGGTCTGAGTGCGGTAAGGGTCAACATCTCTATCCATTATTGTAATATCCTAAATTAATTTTTAGGATTTATGTAAAAATATATATAATAATATTTTATTATAATATAAAAAAATTCAATAAAAAAATAAAAAAATATTTTATTATTATAATAAAATAATAATATTTTAATATATTTTTTTTTTTGAAAAAAGGTCACATCTTTCCATCGAATTCGGTGGAAAGCTGAAACGTTGAAAAGGGAAGGAAGAAAATGGGGGAGAGGAATTTAATGAGGGAAGAAAAAAATGAAAGGTAGTTGGGGAAATGAAGAATAAAAGAAAGAGAGGGAAGTTGAAAACGTGAGTGCGTACTACGCAGGAGAGAAAGAGAGCTTAGTGTGTGTGCAAGAGCGAAAGGAGCTTACCGGTGAAGGAAAGAACGAGTTTTGAAGATATTTTAGGTACATAAAATTCCTTCTTTTCATCAAACTTTCTTTACAAATATTTCCTGTATATTTTAAGCTTCCTATTTACATTATTACTATAGTGATTGGAGAAAATTTTGAGACTTATATATAATATAAGTATTGAGTTTTGATAAAAGATGACTATAGAAATTTAGAAGTGAATGAGTTGTTAATTTTAATTAGTTAGATTTATCCATTTGTTGGTTTTTAGTATTTAAATTAATTTTTCTAGTTGAAAAATCTGTTATATATGATTTATATTATGTTTTTACCGATTAAATTCAAGTTAAGCAATTTATTTGGATTGTTTGACATATTATTAAGATTTTAATCTGTCTAGTTTTATTTATTGGGTGACTGGAGGTTTTAAAATAATTATTGTAGCTAAATAGTTTATTATTTACAGAAATATATATATGGTAGTTATACCATTAAAGTTTTGACTATATTATTTAGTTATAAATATTTAAAGTATTATTAAATTTTTAGAGTTTGATTTTGAGGTTTAAACTTAAAAGAGAGTTTTTAGAATTTAGAAAATAATAATTTTATATATTTAGAATTGTGGAAAATCCTTTTTATTAAGGTAAATAATTTGGAGGTGGTAAATAAATAATTTGGGTTGTTAGAAATTTTAAGTTGTTTCTAAAATACTTAATAATTTTTGAGTTATGAGAGTTGCGGGAATTTAGAGTAAAAATTTAATTAAATTAGAAATTTAAATAATATAGAGAAGTTTAATTAATTAATTAATTAGTTTATATTAAATGTGGTTATATTAATTGTGTAGATTAATTATTGGTTGAGCAAAGGATTGACCTTGTGGTAATCCTTAGTATTGCTTTGACGAGAGGTAACCACTTTCCACTTGTTATATGTGCTAATATGTTGTTTGTGAGTATTTTGTTATTTTTGAATAATATTTGTTATTTGGAATTCGAGTAGAGAAGTTATATCTTTTGAGCTATGAAAATTGTCTTGTGGGATTTTTGGAATTGTGATTGAGAAGTTTGGAAAAGATATATGGTTTATATCTTATGGATTATACTGGGAAAAGATTGAGATATTTTTGTTATATTGTGAATGGTTGGTTGTTATTTGGATTTTGGATTGAGTGCTATCCGACCACGTGGTAAGGCCGCCATTGGTGCACATTGGTTGGCTTCTTCCTTCATTCCTAGAGTAAGGGATAGACCCTTGTGGCTTTTTATTCGTCCCCCAAAGTGTGGGATAGGCCTGTAATAAGGAATGGATCTTTGTGACTATTTAATCGTCCCCCAAAGTGTGGGATAGGCCTATAGGTCGGTTTGATCCCCTATAGTGAGGGATAGACTTATGTGGCTTGTGTGTTAGCTCCCGTAATGAGGATTTGGATGATTGAGATTATTTGAATATACATATTTGTATTTTCATTGATATATATTAAGATTTAATAATTATCCCACTTGACACCTCACGAGCACATGTTAATATGTATGATGAGTTGGAAAGTTGGTTACTGAGGCGTTTGTCTCACCCCGTGGTTTAACATTTTCAGGCGATAGTTCAGGTGGTGGCCCATCAGGGAAGGCTCCAGAGGCATAGTGTGCTGTTATAGCTTGTATAGCCTCCCTGCTTTTGTTCTATGTGCTGACTTGTTATATATTGCCACATAGGGCTCATCTACTATCATGATGTAAAATAATACTTTTAATTACTACTATCTGGTATGACAGGGCCGCGAGGAGGCCCAAGACATCTTAGACTCTGCATGTAACGCTCCTTCGAAAGTGTTGACTTTTGACTAATGAGCTCTCTAGTTTATATTAAATTGATTTATCAGTTCGTATGTTTGAAAATATAAGTTTGGGTTGGGCTAATGGTTGAATGATATTTCTGAACTTTGAAAGTCCAAAGCCCAAGTGAACGATCGATGTGACTCGTAATATAAATTTATTCCTTTTAACCATGATAGCGATTTTAAAATTTTAAGGTTTCTTCTTTTCTATCATGGTTAATCGTTCGAATAGATTGAAAATTTTGATCTAAATGGGTTTTAAAAGAACGGTTGTCACAATTATCCTACTGCCACAGGTGCGCGATGAAACTGATTAGTTTGAATTTATTTTTCAGCAAATCTTGACACGATATTTGGTGTAGTGACTTGAGTACAGCCTCTTTCTATTTTACAAAGAGAAACAATGTTTGTAATGTGGATAAACCCGCCATCGGAGTGTAAACCCACTAGCAATTTGTTTCACTTTCATAAAGGATCACCTTATTTTGTCATTGTCGTCATCAATACCACTGATGGTTTGGGTGCGGTAAGAGTCGACACCCCTTTCCATTATCTATACATTGAAAAATTTGAAAAGGAGATTATGATAGATGGTGTAGAGACTTGAGTACAACTTGTTTCCTTGGTGTATATAGAATGCATTTATATAAACATACTTTATTAATATAGAGTAGTAATATTCATACATTGTGGATAAATAAAGCCGCTAACGAGGTTTAAACCCACTATAGTACACTTGTTTCTATTAAGAATCACCTTGTTTTGTTATCGGTTATAGTTTCAGGAGTAAGACACTTTTGGAAGAAAGTCATTCTTCCTTCTCTGAGAATCTCAACTATGAACGCTTGGAGTTCATCGGTGACGCCGTCTTGGGCCTCGACCCTAGCAACTATCTCT